CCCTGCCAACAGCACCGGGCACAGGCCATCCCTGCCTGTCCCCTCCTGTTCCCCAGATGCCAACATGTCCCAGAGCAGGGCACTGCTCCAACACCACGGGGCCAAGGAGAGGGCTGGGGGCAACAGGAAGAGCCCCGGGGGGGTCAAAAGAAGCTGGGATGGGGGTGTGGTGGGGCTGTGTGGGATGGGCAGCGATGCCCACCGTGCCCTGACCCCCCCTGGCCCTCGGCAGGTGATGCTGGAGCAGATGCAGGGGGTGGTGAGGCTGGAGCTGTCGGGCTGCAACGACTTCACGGAGGCGGGGCTGTGGTCCAGCCTCAACGCCCGCATCACGGCGCTGAGCGTCAGCGACTGCATCAACGTGGCCGACGACGCCATCGCCGCCATCTCGCAGCTCCTGCCCAACCTCACCGAGCTCAACCTTCAAGCCTACCACGTGACGGACACGGCCCTGGCCTACTTCACCGCCAAGCAAGGTTACACCACCCACACCCTGCGCCTCAACTCCTGCTGGGAGATCACCAACCACGGCGTGGTCAACATGGTCCACAGCCTGCCCAACCTGAGCGTCCTCAGCCTCTCGGGCTGCTCCAAGGTGACGGACGACGGGGTGGAGCTGGTGGCCGAGAACCTGCGGAAGCTGCGCAGCCTCGACCTCTCCTGGTGCCCTCGCATCACCGACATGGCCCTGGAGTACATCGCCTGCGACCTGCACAAGCTGGAGGAGCTGGTGCTCGACAGGTATGGGGCTGTGCCAAGCTGTGCCAAGGCATGCTGAGCTGTGCCATGCCAAGGTGTGCCAGACCAAGCTGTGTCATGCTGCGCCATGCCAAGCCATGTCAAGGCATGCCAAGCAGTGCCAAGGCATGCTGTGCCATGCTCAGCTATGCCATGACTTGCCGAGCCATGATATACCATGCTCCACCATGCCATGCCATGCCATGCCATGTCATGCCATACCATACCAAACTGTACCATGCCAAGCCATGCCAAGGCATGCCAAGCAGTGCCAAGGCATGCTGTGTCATGCTGAGCTCTACCATGCTTTGCCAAGCTATACCAAGCCATACCATACCTTACCGAGCTGTGTCATGTTGCGCCATGCCAAGCCATGTCAAGGTATGCCAAGCAATGCCAAGGCATGCTGTGCTATGTTGAGCTATACCATGCCATGCCAAGCCATGGCATACCAAGCTGTGTCGTGCTACGCCAAGCCAAGCCATGTCAGGGCATGCCAAGCAGTGCCAAGGCATGCTGTGCCATGTTGAGCCATACCATGCCTTGCCAAGCCATGACATACCATGCTGCACCATGCCATGCCATGCCATACCATACTATACCAAACTGTGCCATGCCAAGCCATGCCAAACCATGCCGAGCAGTGCCAAGGCACGTTGTGTCATGCTGAGCTCTACCACGCCTTGCCAAGCTATGCCAAGCCATGCCATACCTTAGCGAGCTGTGTTATACTAAGCCGTGCCAAGCCATGCCGAGCAGTGCCAAGGCATGCCATGCCATGCTGAGCCATACCATGAC